AGTAGGCCTCGGTGTGATCTGAAACTTTTCGGAGGAGCCACAGACTCAAATCCAAATCTGCATGGGTCTGATATGATCAGCTCACTCCACCCCATGGCTCCTCGAGGGCCCGCCCCACCCAGCTCACTACTACCCAAAGGCTCTTTCAGCTGCTGGGCCTAGCGGGCAGCCTCAGGCCTTGGGGTGCTCTGGAACTTTTGAATGCTGCCTCAGGCCCTGTACTGGGGTCAACCAGTACAATTCACACAGGTCTTTCCTGCTTGCCTCCAGATCTAGCCCAGGCAGTGAGCACCTCCTGCATGTCGCTTTGATGCTCCTACCAGATAGCCCTGAGCAGTCAAAGGCAGTGGCTAACCTTAGCCAGTAAAGGGGTCTCTAACAAGTGGCCAAAGAACCAACACACACAGAGGCTGGCGTCAGACCACAATAGAGCACCACCTGACTAGATCACCCCCCCACCCACCAAGCAGCACACCCAAAGGGTGGTCTCAACAGGTTCAACAGTGAGCTAGGGTATGAATCTCACTCCATGGGGTCAGCTCCCCAAAACAGTTCCTCCGGGCATGGCCAATACTCACAGCTAGTCAGCCCAGGAGTCAACCCCATCCACTGACATGCTAACAGCAACCAAGGCTTAGCTACAGGAGAACACACACAATTCAGACAAGAAACACTCCCAGAGTTCCCAGCAAGGGCGATTAGGGAGACTGCACCACTGGGCCACACAGGGCACGTACCACGTAAGGCCACCAGGCCAAGAGTGGGAAGACTAACAGATCTACCTAATACACAGAAATGAACAGAGAGGCAACTAAAATGAGAAATCGTGTCATAAATGTAACAGGAGAAATCTCCAGAAAAAGAATTAAATGGAGACGAGCAACCTACTAGAGAAAGAGTTCAAAACACTGGTTATAAGGATGCTTGGTGAACTTAGGGGGACAATAGGTGATCTCAGTGAGGACTTCAACAGAGAGATAGTTAGCATAAAAAAGGACGGAGAAGCCATAAAAAAGAACCAATCAGAAATAAAGAATACAATTACTGAAATGAAGAACACACTAGAAGAAATTTACAGTAGATTAGATGATGCAAAGGATCGAATTAGTAAATTAGAAGACAAGGTAGCAGAAAACATCCAATCAGAAAAGCAATAAATAAAAAAGAACTTCAAAAATGAGAAAAGTTTAAGAGACCTCTGGGACAACATCAAGTGAACCAATATTTGCATCATATGGGGTACCAAAATTAAAAGAGAGCAAGGGATTGAGAACCTATGTGAAGAAATAACAACAGAAAACTTCCCCAACCAGGCAAAGGAATTAAACATACAGGTCCAGGAAGCGCAGAGTGCCAAACAAGAGGAATCCAAACAGACCCTCGCCAAGACACATCATAATTAAAATGCCAAAAGTGAAAGACAATTGTAAAAGTAACAAAAGAAAAGCAGTTAGCTATCTACGAGGGAGCTCCCATAAGAATGTCAGCTCAATGATTTCTCAACAGAAACTCTGCTGGCCAGAAAGGAAATGACATTAAATAGTCAAAGTGATGGAAAACCGGGACCTACAAGTCAAAAGATACCTCGAGACAAATAAAAATGAACAGTATTCTACCCAGCAAAGCTATCATTTCGAATTGAAGGACAGATAAAGAGCTTCCCAGACAAGATAAAACTAAAGGAGTTCATCACCATCAAGCCAGTATTACGAAAAATGTTATAGGGAATTCTTTAAGTAGAGAAAAAAATTAAAAATACGAACAATAAAATGGTAATAAATATGTACCTATCCATAATCACCCTAAATGTAAATGGATTAAATGCTGCAACCAAAAGACATTGGGTAACTGAATGGATAAGAAAATAACACCCTACATATGCTGCCCACTTCAGATCAAATGACACACACAAAATGAAAGTAAAGGAACAGAAATAATATTTCACGCAAATAGAAAAGAAAAAAACCTGGGGTAGCAATACTTATATCACACATAATATACTTTAAAACAAAAGACATAATAAGAGACAAAGAAGGGCACTGTATAATTAATATTAAAGGTATCAATACATCAAGAAGACATAACCCTAATAAATATATACACACCCAACACAGGAGCACCTACACATATAAAGCAATTATTGACCGACAAAGGAAGAGATCAACAGTAATACACTCATAGTAGGAGACTGTAACACCCCACTGAAACCAATGGAAATATCTTCCAGACAGAAAATCAACAAGAAACAGTGGCCTTAAATGACACACTAAACCAGATGGATTTAACTGATATTTTCAGAGCATTCCACCCCAAAGCAACAGAATATATTCTTCTCAAGTGCACATGGAACATTCTCCAGGACAGACCACATGTTAGGCCACAAACAAGTCTCAATAATAAGACTGAAATAATATCAAGCGTCTTTTTTGACCACAACGGTATGAAACTAGAAATCATCTACAAGAAAAAAACTGGAAAATACACAAACATATAGAAGCTAAATAACATGCTACTAAACAATGAATGGGTTAACAATGCGATCAAGGAAGAAGTCAAAAGATACCTCGAGACAAATAAAAATGAAAACACAACAACTCAAAAATCTATGGTACACAGGCAAAGCAGTCCTAAGAGGGAAATTCACAGCAATACCGGCCTACGTCAAGAAACAAGAAAAATCTCAAATAAACAATCTAACCTTCCACTTAAAAGAACTAAAAAACAGAAGAGCAAACAAACGCAAAGAGAGTAGAAGGAAGGAAATAATAAAATCGGGGCAGAAATAAACAACATAGAGTCTAGGAAAACAATACAGAAGACCAATGAAACCAAGAGTTGGTTCTTTGGAAGAATAAACCTTCAACCAGACTCATCAGAAAAAGAGAGAGGACCCAAATAAATAAAGTCAGAAATGAAAGAGAAGTAACTACGGACTCCACAGAAATACAAAAAATTGTAAGAAAACACTATGAGCAATTATATGCCAACAAATTAGACAACGCGGAAGAAATGGATACGTGCCTAGAAACATACAATCTCCCAAGAGGAAGAAAAAGAAAATCTGAACCAACTGATTACCACCAACAAAATCGAATCAGTAATAAAAAAAACTCCCAAAAAACAAAGTCCTGGCCTGAATCTTACAGAACTGTCCTTCCAGTCCTACGGTAGGAGAATCCCTGAAATCTGAAGAGATTTCATGATTCTCAGCAACTTTCCAGTCAGTTTTTTTTTAAATGACACTATTTACTTCCTTTCATCATTTCAGAATTGATTGTACCAAAAATGCACGTTTTTTATAAACTTTTAATAACATATATTATAAAGCATATATATATCGTTACACATATTACTACTAACATCTAAATTTTAGTCTGAGCTATCCTCTCTGGGCTTAGTCCTCTATCAGAAAAACTTTCCTTTAAGGATATAAATTTATTTTAAAAAGGAAAAATCATTAATAAAGAAATATAATAAAACTATAAATAAAATTATAAAATTAATTCACATTTGTTATGGTTTAAACCACATTACTTTCTGATTACTCTGGTCCTTTGACCCCTCTACATCACTATTTTCTTTAGTTTTTGTAGTCTAAAGTAGTAAAGTAACTTGCGGAACCACTGTGCTATGCCCAAGGATGCAAACTGTCAAGTGACAAACCCAAAACATAGTCATGAAGAAAGGTGGAGAATCCAGACACGGTCTCTGTGCTATGTTTTTCCCAACAGCTGATATCATCAGCATATGTTTATATCTGTAGCCAAACTATCTGAACATGTATATTAAGTGATAAGTTAATAAAAGGGTACATGCTAGGTATTATCCTATTGTGCAATCCTAAATTGTGGTGCTCAGATTAAGATACTGAATTTCATATAGCAGATGACAAAGGACGATGATAAAGTTCTGAAGATAAGCAGTGGCTTTCATCATCTAACAGTGCTTCATTTTGTCCACAAGACAGAGGCAGTGAATACCAAAAGGCCATATATAAAAACCATGAAGGGTAAAGAAGTTAAAGATGACTCATGCTATCAGAATATAATATGTATCAGGTTAACAATTAGTGTAAGCAGATAAAAATACTATAAAAGTAATGCACAAAGCACTGTATTGCTTTCTATATTAACACTAGAATGATGATGTATGAAAGTTTAAAATGAAAGTACTCAGATAATATGTGACAGGCCGAGAATACGATTTTCTAAAATCAGAAACTTAAAAGAGCCAACAAAAATGACAGATTTACCACCTCTGCTTCCTTCCAAAGAGTTTCAGATTGCTTACTTCGCTGACACTTTCTGAACTTTGATGTGGCTGCTTCTTAAATGAAGGTCAGTGTTAAAACTAGAGCAGCTATTGCCTCAGGAGACACACGTATTTAAGTAGAATTTAAAGGTTCGACCAATCATATAGATGTGTCTTATGTGGTTTGTAGTTCTTTCTTTTCTGGTTATTGTCTCTTAATCATGTCACTTGTAATTAACAATTCTATCACTTCAGAGACAGTATAGTAACAGAGAGGCTCAGATTTATTGGTGGCAGCTAAAATTAATTTTAGAATTCGGTTTGCTCTAAATAATGAATAAGGCTAATCTGAATGAAGTCGGAATCATCTGAAAACCAGTATTATTACATTTTAGGCATAGTCACTCTAAAGATCTGCCAGAAAGACCTACTTTTATGTGAATATTAACGTGTGGAAATAAATGCTCTCTGTATTTCAACATGGCTTATTTTTTAGAATTGCAGACGTCTTGTGAAATAGTGCTTATATTATTCATTTAAGTAGCTAATTCTTCCTTCAGAAATAGGTAAATTTTAGCCTAGCCCTTATTTAAAAAAAAAAAAATAGATTTTATGCATTTGGAACCCAATCATTACAATCTACCCTTAGTTTTCGCTAAAATTCAAGACAAAATTGGCTACAAAATGCCTTCATTTTTTAAGGTTTTGATAAAATGATAGTTACAAAAAATGCATTATGCCCCCCTTACCAATATGAGCTCTGTCGGATATGATAAGCCTTTTTTCCCAGCCTTCCAGACCTAGAGAGAAGGGGCGGGGAAGATACATTTAATTGAACATTTTGTATAATAATTTTTAAATATTAATTTCTTTAGAAATACAGTGTTTACAAGTGTTTTTCACTTAAGTAATCACTTTTATATATCTTTTCTGCATAGGAAATGTTTAATAGAAATTTTCTCAACTGTCATTCATTACATAGACAAACTCATTCACAAATTCTATCTTTCTAAATGTTTTGCTCTAAAAAGCTTCAAATTCAAGCCAGCTATAGCCACATAAAATACTTCCGGGAATCGAAAAAAGCAAATGGCAGGAAAAGAATATTTTTGTTGGAGGCGGAAGGAAGAGGAGTTAGATACAGAGCAGGGGGGGAATTTCCAGAAACGGGAGTGAATTTTGAGACTAGCGCCCTTTCCCAAAAGACAATTATAAAAAGTGTGATTAAACAAAGTAACATAGAATGTTCTCACTAATTCCTGTAAAGTACTATCAATTACTGTAGTTAGCACACTGAATCGTAACCACACACACACACACACACACACACACACACGCACACACACGTGCGCGCGCACACACACACGCACACACACACACGCACACGCACGCACACACAATCTCTCCATTTATCTGTGAATGCCTGAGAGCAGAGACCATGAGTTTCATAGGATAGGCAGTCATCCAATAAATGTTCAAAAAAAAATTATTAAATGAGAAGATAATTGAAGCTAAATAGATATTTTTTAAAGATAATACATCTTAATAAGCTATATGCGTTCTAAGAATAAGTTGCCATGCTCCAAACATTTTCAAAATTAATTTCAGATATTAAAAATTAGTTAATTTTGATAATATCCAAAGATTTTGAAAATTACTTCTTATAAAGAGCACCTCTTCCATAATGTGCTAAAAGATAAACCAGAATATTAAGCCTTCCCCTCGATAGCCCTTTTTGACATATAAATACACACTCTGGAGTTAGCTTAGGAAATATTATAAAGCAAATACTACGAAGAAACACAGCGGAGTGGATTCAGCTGGATCAGATGGGCCAGAAGGGAAAGGAGTAGGACAGAGTTTTTAGGGGGATAAAGGAGAGCAGAGAGCAGCATGGGAACCTCGAGCTGACCAATTAGAAAAGCTGACACGTAAAAACGCAGGGAGGACAGCAGAGATGCTAGTGAGAAAGCATTCTGTGAAGTCAGATTAAGTCATCAGAAATACTGGAGGATGGTGGCTACTTTTAAACCAGAACGATAAACTTTAATAAGGTAATAGAATTGAGTATTCTAAATACGAGCTAAGCTAAGAAGAAACTACACTAATGATTTTCCTCGATTGTGTGTTATTTGCATTGCTATATTCCCCTCAAACCCTAGCAAGGTAGCCAAGTTGAACAGACTTCCAAAAATCTGAAAGAGGTAAGGAAAGGTAGGAAATCTAGAATCATTTTTTGAGGAGATGGAAGACCACATCGCACAGAAGGCATTACTCTCATTTGGAGAGGGACCCAAACAACCCTCTTTTATCCCTGGGTTGTAGCCACCCACGGAATGCCACGTCCTCAAAGAAACAAGACCGACAGTGTGCAAAATGGGCTTCTGTGTCCCCCTGACTGTACTAGGCTAATTTTTGGTTTGGGCAGAAGGGAATGCTAATTTGAGCACAAACGACAAGATGAATTCATAAATTTCCTAGTTCTGCCACCAAGATTTAGTAATTCTAGCTCCCTCAAGATAAAGTTTATAGATGGCCAATGTGTAAAAAAGCCAAGACTTATACGATGACCTCATGATGTTTGTCTTTTGTTTACATACTGATTGTAATAAATAAAATTTAATAACTGACATTTAAAATCTTGTCCTACAATAACCAGCAATTTTAAAGTATAAGACAAAAATGTCAAGTTTGTCTGGCGTGCGATCCCAATAAAACTTTAAAAAAATAATAACTGGTTACCGGGCAAAGCAGATTCATTTTTTCATACCTTTTCCTTTTTGAACATTTTTCTCTGCTTCTTCAAATAATCCAGGTAGGTGAATTACCACACCATTTCCTAAAGGAAAACAGACAAATCCCAACCTTAAACATCTATACTTACAGACATACATAATGGTATTTAGAGAAATAGAGACGTCTACAATAACCCTTTATCTAGAATAGTAGAGAGTGAGGGACTTTAATCAGACATTCTGATTTATCAGGGAATTACCATAGAAAGGATTCCAAGTTTTAAACACACAGTGGTATAACGTAAATACACAATATAACATAATACAAAGAATATAAAAAATACATTAAAATTACAATGAATATTTGTATAATATTTTAATATAAATAATATTTAATAATTTTATACAATGATTGTAAAGCTCTTTGAAACAAAGTGAAACTCATTTTGAAAGAAACTAGTTATGTAGTTTTAGACAAATTGAACCAGGTCACAGTAGACTCTAGATCAATGTCTTTCAAATTGGGGAATCACACCCTATTAATAGTCATAAAATAAATTTAGTGGGTTGTGATTAGAATTAAAAAAAAAAAACAAGAGTAGAAAATATCAGACTGCATCATATGTCACAAAGGTTCAGAATCAATTTATAAAACATAGACTTCTTGTTTTTCTTACTGTGCATCAGTGTTTGAAAAATTGATTTGATGATCTAATACTTTTTTATAGAATTCAGATTGCCAATGATCACAGATAGATGCAAAGCAATCATTGCAAAACGTATTAGTGTTAAAAGGTCTAAAAGAGTTGTAAAATAGCCAAAGTTAGGTATATTCCAGAAGGTGCCAAGGTCAAGACTGATCATTTGATTAGTAAAAGATGAAATCAGTTTAGATGATGAAAAATGAACACTACTATCAATGGGAGAGATAATTCCCAGGTGGTTCAGTATATACTCACCAATGAACGCAGTAACATTTGGGTTAATTATCCCACTGGGTAAAAGATGGAAATCATATTCCACAGAATCTACGACAACTGTATGGCCGGCATTATTTCCTCCCTGAAATATAAGACAAGGGAAAACTGAACCTAACAATAGGAAACATATCTCCTTCCACAGTGAATTAATGATTTCCTGCTAAAAGGTCAATGTAACTTAAGGAAACCTAAGTATTTGCCACGAATACTTATGCTTTACAGGCTTCAAAGCAAAGCGGCTCCCCTCTCTGCCGTCCCATCTAGACTACGCCTGAGTGGTTATCCCTGACAGGAACTGGAAATTGGAGAATCGGGTTTCTGGAAGATCTATCTCTTATTAAAAGAGAAAAAAAAAGCGAAAAAGTACAGGGAACGATTAGTTTGTTATTCTGTTTTTGGCACTATGTAGGATATGAAGCAATCTAATGAATTACCCATGATATTTTATCTAAGCAACAACAAAATCTCCAAAACAGAAAAGAATAATCCACCCAGTTACTCTAATGTAAATATTCACATAATTCTCACTGTTCTAAGGGTGTGTCAAGCAACTATGTGCCCTGAAATTTGTATTCTTACGTGGACTTATCAACTAGAAAATCTCCCACATAACTCCCTCAAATACTAGTTATCCTGAGACTCTGTTTTTTAAATTTATAAAAAGTCTTGTGAGTTTGGTTAGTGACAGATCCCTTGAATCTGCTCATCTCTGAATAAAGTAAAACACTGGGTCAAGGAACTTCTAAAGCTGAGAATCATATTATGAATCCACAGTGAAACATTCATGACTAAATGACCAATTATAGCAAAATGTGAAGTCAAGTGATAAAAGTTAGGTCCAAAGGAGACTGAATATTAAGTGATGAAATATTTTTTTCTAATTTCCTAGCTTAAAAAGAATGGAAGGAAACACGAATTATTTATAGGTTTAAACTCCTATACAATATTCACAAAAATTTTAAAGTAAACCACAAAATAAGAATATATTTACAATAAATTAAAAGTTTAACAACATTCTTGTCGGACATTTAAAAATACCAATCAAAATGACTTCTCCTGAGAATGACTAGTTTAACTTGATCACAAGGCTATTTTTGACAAATGAATGTTACCAAATCGTCACCAATAATGAATTCACAAAAATGTTAGAAAAATAGGTTTTTCAAAAAAAGCAATGCCTGCTTACACTGTGTTTTGCCCTGTACAAAGTAAAGAATTCCTTGTTTGAAAACTAGTGTATGTCATTTATGCTTTAAAAAAAAAAAAACATTTGACAGTGGTGGCCTGTAGATGACAGGTGGGTGGCAAGACACAGGAAGACAGAAGCAGGAGAGGTAAGCGATACTTCCTTGGCTTGATACCACCAAGGGAACAGGTGTATATTTTTACTATTTATTTTTAATAGGAATCGTATGCATAGGCTACAAAGGCACAGGGGATGCACAGTACAAAGCGAAGTCTTTCTTACACTCCATCTCCTACCCTGCCCCAGTTCCCTGCTACGAGGCAACCAGTTACCACCAGTTTTTTGGGTCCTTCCTGAGGTAATTTTGCATATACAAACACATATTTATATATTGTTTTATTCTAGGTATACAAATGTTAGCAAACTATACACCTGGGCAGCCTGCCTTTTTTACTTAACAAATCTTAGAGCTCATTCCATAACCTTATAAACAGAACCATCTCAGTTTTAAAGCTGCTTCGCCTCTCCATATTGTTTTTTGTATGGGCACGCAATTTATTAAACTGGTCCCGTAGGAGAGGCATTTGGGTGTTTCCAATCTTTTATCGTTATGAACAATATTATGATACACTTCCTGGTAATTTATTATTATTTCACACTTGGGCAAGTTTATCACCAATTCTGATAGAATCTAAATATATATATATGTGTGTGTGTGTGTATATACATATACACACACACACACATATCAAAAGAACATACTGGTCTTAGGTGTTTTTAAATAATTCACAGAACAAATCTCGCTTGATTTTTAGTTTTTCTTTATCCCTCTGACAAATATTAGCCCTTTTTATCACAACTTTTTTATAATTTAGGAACCCTTCCTCAAACTTTAAAGAAAAATCTTTTCTGAGTCTGAAGCTCATTAAAATTTCTTTAGATCCTAGGAAAATGCTAATTTGCTATTATAATTATTTAATTCTAAATTGTTATAAATCACTAAATTTAATATATTTTTACTAAATTGTTATGAAGTATTGGTAACTTCGAGACAAACAACCAATAAAGCATTATTATTTAAACAAAACTAGTTATTTTAAAAAAAATCAATCATTTGTTTAATATTTTTAAAAAAGCTATCTACTCTGTAATTTTTGGAGTAGACCTTTAAAGTAAGTCAATGCACACAATCATTTTTCTAGATACACTAACATAACCATTTGATGAAATAATGATTAACTCGGTGGTACAGAACAATGTCCCTGCCGTATGACTAAAGCCTGCTCTCCTGGATAATATTTCACCAAGGCAGGCAGTAACGACGACAAGAACCACGACGGAGATGATGCTGATGTGTTTGCTTGAGGCGGGAGGTAGTGATCGGTTGTGAGAGACGACTTTAGGGGGATAAACTGGTATAATTCTTTAAGTTCCTCCAAGATCACCAGTGGTGGGTTAGGCTAGAACATTTCAGCTGCAAAAGGCTTGAACGGACATTTGAATCAACAGCTTGCTCACTCAAACATTAACCAACATTTTTTAATAACCTTATCTTATTAAGGTTAACTATATAGTTTAAATCTCATTTAAATTGTTTGATTATGAAAATATGGCCAGATGTACCCAGAATAACCCTAGATTATCCTGTTAAGGTACAGAGATGAGAAAGCGATTGTTTCTCAGTACATTTGGTCCGTAGTGCCTAAGGGAGGGGTGGGGTATGAAAGCTTCTAATCTCCGGCCTCCAGAGGAGCCTGAGGGAGCTTCCTGACATGGAAATCTTTTCGGGGAAACAAGTTTTAGTCCGGGGCCATATTTCCCAAAATGGGTCAGATAAAACTTCGCATTTGAAGTATTTGTACAAATTGTGTGGAACGTACAAAATTCACCTTGGGAGCTTGGGATACAAATGATACTGGTCCGGGGAGAGGTCATATGAATTAGTAGAGGACAAAACAAAGAAAAATGGATGGCACTGCCCGCAGCACCTCACCCTGGGCCCACGCCCGCCAAGGAACTATGAGCAGAGACTCTGAACTGCGCGTGCGCTTCCACGCTCGTGGGTTTCCACACTCGTGACAGAACTGCTTCTCACGTGGGCAACTCCATGTGCTGGGCACCAGGATATGCGGCAAGGACACAAACTCACTGTGACGTAGCATTTACACAGCCGGCTGCCTAAATTCACATCCTGCACTAGTTTGATCATTCTTGGTTAGCGCTGGGAGGCCAGATAGGACTATATAAATGACAAGAGATTGATATTTTTTTGTTCTACTTTTAACAGAGATATACTATTTCCTTCTCATTCCAAAATTTCCCCCAAACAAAGCCTGGTAGGTTATACCCCCCAGATATACAGTATTAATCACATATTCATATTAATAGTTACATGTAGCTACCTACCTCTTGGTGTTTTTCTAAATTCCCATAACACTTAAGATCCCAGTCACTCAGGTGGCACTTAACAAATACTTTTAATTACCAGTTGTGTGTTTTATAT